CATCTAGTTATACAAACCAATTAGATTTATATTTGAAAAAAGAATAATGAATGGACAAGCATCATCCATTAGGAATTTTCTCTTACATATATTTTTTTCTTTTTTGATCTTATAGGAGTTAGGTTATAAGTTATGGTTGAGTTGTTTATCTTATGACAACATCTGTTTCCACCATATATCAATGTATTTGGTCTGGATCTATATTGACCTTATGAAGGGATTAAAGGAAATTGCACAGAGTGCTGATAAATACAAAATAAATCTTTATATGCCACAACTTAATAATACAGAAGGATAAGGCCAAAGTTGAAGTTTTGAGAGTTCAAGTGTAAAAGTCCTGGCATATATGAGAGAGAGAGAGAGTTCAGGAGGAAGTGTGTGTGTGCATATATATAAATTTTTAAAAATTATTTCGTTTGAACTCTCAGGGAGAAAAGTGAATTTGTAAACAGTGACTATTATTGCTGCTGATGCAAGACTCTTTAAGACAAATAGAGTTCTCCCAGTCACTGGCATGTTTATCTAAAAATAAATATGTCTAAATTCACCTTCATCTGTGCCAATGGCTTAGGGGTAGAGTCTCTGACTGATACCAAATCAGTTGGGTTTTGATCCCAGCTTGAGACAATCTGATGCCTAGCCACACTGATGTACTGTGAAATGGCAAAACAGTCTGTCTGTGGATGACAATATATATATGTATCCAAATGTAACAAAGAATGTTTCAGCTGTATAAGGTCACCAGCTAGTCATCCAAGATCCATATTTTGTCTCTGGGTATGTTATGATGACCATGTCATTGGAGAATATACAAAATTAATTTATCAACTCTGGTTTTGGTTGATTTTCCATCTGTTTATATACACATCTATAGATTTGCTTTGAAAAATTTACTCACTTCTCATTGGCTTGTGGCCTTATATCCTGGTAGTGAAAGATTTCTGATTGGCTAGTTGAACTATGGCTTTGTTTGCCTTGTGATTTTTATTATATGTCTTCCCATAATCATTTTATTTATTTATTTCTCTATCACCACACCGTCTCCATAAATTATTCCAATATTTACATCTTTCCATATTTGCCTTTCATTCTATTGTTCATTCTTTCTTTGAACTGTTCCTCCCTCTGTCTCTTTTGTATTTCCACCACTATTTTTACCAGATTTTCTTTTCATTTTCCTCTAGCTTTCTTACACCCTTCATTCCCTCTTTTCTTCCTTTCCTTTGCTTTTCTTAAATTCCTTCCTGCTTAGTTATATTATGGAGGTTTCTCAGTTCAGAGGTTTCTGGGATCACACAGATACTACACTCTGATCCTAGGTAGAAAAGCATCAGGTTTCTTCATACAAATAACAATAACAGTACAATAAATTAACAAAAAATAAAAAAGTGGCAACGAAAAATAAAAATTGATTTTCTAGTCAAAATTTAGTAAACATTATCATCAAAAAATTCTTGCAATCTAAAAATATAGCCTGCAAATAAGTCATAAAAACCAATCAATCAAGTCAAAATTTAAAATCTTTACTCCATTCTGCCCATTCTATCATGTTTTGTTTCGAATAATACTGTACCCCTTTTTAAAACGTATGATGAATGTTGCTGATGTTTCGTATTGTAGAATATTTGATTTAGACTGTAATACTATTTAGTTTCAACAGAAGAGAAATCCAATTCTATTTTATACAAGAGTTATTCTCTGTTGCAGTGATAGCTATTCTTAGTCTAATAGTCGCTATTCAACAATTAAGAACTTAAGTTTTACTTATTATTTTATACTAAGATGAAAACGTATGGAGCCTAAAATACTGAGTTGTTAAAAAAACTCTACTAGTCACTGAGGTTCAACATTGAAATTTGAGTCACCACAAATTTACACAGTAAGTTAAAACTTGAAAACCATCATAGCTTCTTAGTTCTGTGTTCTGGAGAGTAGTCTTCCAATTCAGTTTACCATAACAATAAAACCAAAAGATGTCACCAGCTGAGATTAATCATATTAAAGTAAATCAGCAGACTTGATCCTAATCTTTTACTCAGGATTAGATTTGATACTTTGCCGTTTAACTGAAATCATGGATTAGATCACAACTTTCTTAAAACCTGATGCTTGGGTGTGAATAAAAAGAATTAATTTGTATCTGAACAGATAAGTTTATTCAAAATATTTTGTCTATTTATTTCAATAACTAACATATACTCACTTTTGTTTATTAGGCATTAAATTACATAGCTTAACACCCTACATAGTTTAACTTGAATTTCATTTAGCCTAAATGATATTTACGAGCATTCTTAAATTAAAAGATTTTGAAAATAACATCTTTTTTCATTTGTTTATAAATACTTGTTGCAAAATAAAATTATTACATTTGCCTTGATAAGGACTATCAGAGGATGAAACACATCTGTAAAGAAAAGTTTTCCTTTCGTCTTTATCTATATAGATATTAGGAAAGTCTATGACAAAGTGTAAAATTTTTTTTGTGTGACACATTTCATCCTTCAGGATTTCAGGGGACTAAATTATTCCTAAAATTGTTCTGATATATAAAAATATATAAAATTGTTCTGATGTCTGAAAATTTACATGTCATTTTTTACATAGAGAGATTTTTTTTCTTGAATTTTTAAGATAAGAAATTGCTGTTAATTGACTCTAGTTTGTGTCTTTATCTTAGAGGTTATAAAATCTTGACCATTGAATACTCTGGTCACCTCTGGGAATCTCAAACTAAATTCCTTATTCAATCCATCAGGATATACTGTTCTCATTCTGATATAATTCTTCCTTTCAATGTCACTCGTATCTCTCCCAGTTTATCAGTCTGTGACTTTTTGCACTACTTGACCCAAGGATTGAACTCTTGACAGCTCGGTAACCAAATATACTTAACCATTACTCTTATCCACTCAGCCATTGTCTCTGAGGAAAGTCCGAAAACTTTAAACATAATGCCACTTGTTTGCCTTGTCCACTGGCTTGTAATGTAATTAGGTGTTGAAATTTTTGAGTTTTAAGCCTAGTGTCTTCTTAATTAAAGCTACCTTTAGGTGTTCATTTTTGTGCTAGGCTTATTGAGGAGGATATTAGAGCATAGCATTTGTGCCAATTCTTTTCATTGCCTTATCTTCCAGTACCTTTTTCTATTACTCAAACTACATTCCACAGAGCACACCATGGCCTAGGCAGAGGCTAAATATGCCTTTCCAGCAAACTAACAAGTCCATGGTGCCATTTACCTTTTGAGAATATATCTTTCCCAGATATAAAAAGAAACTCCAGCTCACAGTGTGATGGCACCTTTTGCATGTCCTTCACTGCACAACTGTGATGACATCCAAGGTCGGTTGTAGGCGCATATACACCAGGCTAGTTGTGTTCACAGGTTTGTCTCCTTGGTCATGATCAAATTCATCAAAGAATAACAAATGCTTTTCAAGACACTGATGGGGAAATAGCAAACAATATGATTTCTCACTTGACTGGCAAATCTTCCTTCGATTTTGTTGAAGTGAACTACTATCTTACTAACTTCTAGCCATGGAAAGAAGACCCTCACATTCACTGCCCATGGTTTCAGTGACTGCTAACTCACTCATTGCCGTTCTTTCCTTACTTTCTGACTCTCAGTCACTTCCTCACTGACTGCCCATTTATGGACACTGGCTGGGGTCCTACCACCCCTATCCATCCACTTGTATCCTTGAAAAAGAGATCACCTAAAAGCTAAATGGGTGGTCAATCTTTCAAAGAACTCTACTTTTATGATTAGCTAAAGTCACTAACAAGATTTTATGTTTGCCAATTCAAAGGCAGGCTGGAAACTGGAATCCCCAAAACTCTGGTAATTAAATTGACTTAAAAGGCAAAAAATCTATCTCCTAAGGATGTAAGAGAAATCATATTGTTACACAGTCCTCAACTTGGGAAAAAACAGGATTTGCTGTTTCTCATTTGTAGAATATGTCCTTGCCTGGGACATAGATAAATCCAGCCCATTTGAATTGGGTGTCCTAAAGACAGAGGATTAAGACTCTTCCTTTTTGTTTCTCCTTATGCTCTGCTTTGCTGTGTAAATATATATGATGCACTTTCTCGGTGTGGGACATGTGTGTATATATGTATTAATTTTGTGCATATCTTAGTGATATAAAAGTCACTCTGAGAACAAAGCATGTTTGTCAATCCTTTTCCTTTTAGCCATTCCGTTCCACCCATGAAATATTGGTGTTATTATATCACAGATACAATAATGCCTATAACAGGGGAAATACAAATGGAAGAATAAATCTTTCTACTATAGCTCTCTCCCATTACAAGAAAATAAATAGTTTGGATTGAAATTCTTGGAAAATTACTAAATAATACCAGAAGAAGGCTGGAGAATATAACAGCCAGTATCAAGATGATGGCAACAGGCAGAGTAAATCTGCATCCAATAAAGATAGAACATTTTATTATCCATTTATAATGCTTTTGGATAATAAAATTAATTTTCTAAGAAAAATTAGAAAAATAAAGTTTTCAAACATCCTATAAATATTGGAATTTGTGTTTCTGTAACAATAAGGCTAAGGGTAGGGTGTTGGTTTAATTTTTTTTTTCTTTCACTTTTTATTAAAATTTAAATGGATTACTTTAATTTGAAATAGACCTATCCTTTTATTTCAACATGTTAAAATATCTTGAAGAAAATGGGTTCAAACTTGACAGAAATGCTACAGTCTGATTTCTAATCAGGATTTTGTGACCCACTGGTCTTTTTCTTTGATTATAAGAGAAAATTGTTAGCTTTCAAAAGTTATCTTCAAATTGAACATGCAATGATAGTGTTTAGTTAAAGCAAGGTAGATTGATATCTTAACTTCATGGCGGAATCGAAATGCTAGACAAAAAGAAAAAAAAAGCATAACATGAAATATAAGAAGTAGTGAAACTTAAGCAAAGACTTAAAAATGAAAACATATTGGGATGCAACAGGCGGAGTCATTTCTTACTGAGTAGACGTGATCGTCTTCTGCTTTTTCTTTGGATTTTGCACTTTCATTTTCTACACTAGCACCATCTTTGGAAGCCTGAAAGAGACAAAAGGAAAAAAAAAAAAAGATTAACCAAAATAATAAATAAAAATAGATAAAAATCTTAGGCAATTAGAAAAATTAGGTAATAAAGAAAATATTTGATTAATGCAAAATTTATTTCCATATTTTGTACATGGAGAAATCTTAAATGTTTTACAAGATTATTCAGCTCTTTAGTGTTTGCATGGACATAATAGATTGTTTGTAAGAAAATTGAAAAGAAAAGTAGTAATTCTATTTTTGTGGAAGTCATGACTACAGATAACATTTAGACTTGACATGATTTACTTGTTCATGTTTAATGTATGGAAAAAGTGTCACAGAAGCTGTACAGCAGATTACCAACTGTTCATGTCCTTGAGCTCAATTTTTTTTTTTTAAACTTTGAAAAACCTTCTTGCCACATGCTTGCACACACTGCAAACTTTGGAAAACATCTGACCTTGATGAGCTAAATAAGTGTTAAAAAAAATAGCAGCACAAAAACATGAACTAGCATAAAAATGAAAAGTGAATTGCTTAACTCAATTTAGTCTAGGTAAGGAGGTCAACTAGGGATTTGGATGTATAATGTTAGTTACTGTTGCAAGTAAGAAACAATCGGCCATATTTCTTTTTGTCATCACTTTGCAAGCAAGACACGTTCACGCTTGTTTCGAATTCTGAGGTAAGTCATGTCTTTCGTCACATGTCTTTCATAGCTCAGAATTGGAAATTGGAGAGTTGAGTTCCAATTCCTGTAGTGTTAGTTATATTCATTTATGTACCGTTGGGAAAGGCATGAATCTATCTCTTCTCTCTCCAACTATTAGTTAATTAGTTGGACTTTTATTAGTAAATCACTATCTCCCAAAAAATTCTTACACACTTATTTTCTGGCTTCAAATAAGTTGATAAGCCATAAAAACAAAAATAATCAATCAATCCCGGAATTTTGAATCTTGAACCAAACCCCATTAATTAATTCCAGAATAAAATAATTACAGAATGCTTTTAATCTGCAGTCAACACTAGAGGATTTCTCATATCGATTAATTCTATTTGATTAATTCAGAAGATACGGTACTTGAAAGAATCAGTACGCATACTAGACTCTAATCACCTCTCTGATACACCTAGCCCATGGGAACGTTTTAATTAATAAAGAACATTAAACCTAAGATTTAAAAAAAAAAAAAAAAGTCACCATCTAATTACATTATAGATTGTGTAAAAGGCATATAGTTCAGTTGAAGAAGCAGACAAGAAAAGCATGAAGTGAAACGTTTCAAATTTCTACCCCTGAATTGTTTTATGAGACATATGGCATAATAGAGTGCTGATTAAGCAGTTTTCAGGAGTTCAATTCCTAATGTTTGTATGTGTGCATGGTGGGGTGGTTGTATGTGGCAGGGCGTGGAAGAGACTCGTATACTCTGGAAGGTAATTTATTCTTGTGATGTCATTTAATTAAATAGAATTAACTGATATAAGTACATCTTTGAGCATGTACCATAGAATGAAAATAACGTATTCTTGTAAACGAAATAGTTTGGTTCAGAATTCTTAGGTTGTCAGACCCCTGAAGAATGCCAAAAGGTAGAATGGTTTAAACATTGTAATAATAACCAAAATGAGAACATGAGTTGTCATACATTCTCATCTCAAAAGTTCAGATCAAAAAAAAGAACGACTCATTTTTATTATGATAGAATACATGTGGTTCTTGGTGCTACAATGCCAAAGAAAATACAGATGATCAAAAGTCTTTTTGTGGTTATTGAAGAATCAGAGAGCTGAGTTCAAATTCCAGTGAAATCCATTACATTCACTTACATACTAATACCCTTGGGAAAGGTATGAATCTTCTCCTCCTCCTCCTCCCAGCTATGAGTAAATAGCAGGACAGACCGGGTTCTATAGCCTTGGATGGCAACTGGTCTACCGCAGGAAGAAATGGCAACCTACTGTGGGGAAAAAATCTGCCTAGTCAGATATCGAAAGATACATGATTTCCTAAGCATGTATCATGCATGGCACATAACTGATTGAAATATTAGAGAAAATTATACTAATTAAAAAGAATTAGTTTTTCATTTTAATTTCAGTTGCATTTTGTCACAACTTTTAGACTACAGTCATAAGTATTTTGACTGGTTGATAAGTAAAAGTATCCATGATCTAACCCAGTGTTCCCATACTTTTTTTAATTTTTTTTTAATTCAGGGCACACTTGTAGAATAACTAAAACTCTAAGGTGCCTTTTTTAAATTTTAATAAGGAAAAATTAGTCATGAAATTTGAAACTAGGAAAATAATAAAGAAGTCTCCTGAAATAAGCATTTATTTTTTAAGACATTACATTGCATATTTAAGTATTCATATGCGAAACCTGTTTTTGATGCATTTTGGCAATTTTTTGAATGTCAGGCTTTATATTTGATAAACATATTCTCATTTCCTCATTAATGCATTTAATGTTTGTAAATGCAGAAAATCCTAATTCACAGAGGTACGATGAGGAAAATTGCAATAAAATATTCAATGCTTTATGAGCTATTGAAGGATATTCTTCTTGAATGGAAATCCAAAATTGACAAATAAACACCTCTTTATGCTTGATTTGTAAGCCACGATCAGCAGATATAATGACCAGCTCCTCTTCTCTTCTGTTAAGGAATTTAGCATCCAGTTTAAAATATCCAATGACAAAGACTTAGACATGGAGGCTTGGTGTCTCTAGCTTTTTAAAAATAAAGACCTCTTTAAATATAAAAATAATTTTCCGTGGTCTATTCAATAAAGCAGCTGTTGCATGAAGACAGGCTTCCTGAGGAATTGAAAATGTTTGAGTCTCACCAAAGGTCGATTCTTTGATTCTAATTTGTACAGATTGTTCCTAGTTAAAAACTGAATGAGTGAGAGTTGAGATAAAAAGCAACTGAGATTAAGATCAAAGAAATAAAAGTCAAAATATCTGAGAGCGTGAATAGTTCATTTCTAACAAAAGCCCATTGAATAATATTTTCAAACCTTGTTTCGCTACTACTGAATGACAAAAAAAGACATTGTTATGGTCAGATGATACAGGCTCAGCATGAACATGAGCAAGCATTGGGTTATGAAGACAATAGAATGGGAAGTTATATTGGACCCAGCAGAAATAATTTGTTTTGTTTGTTTAATGGCATATCAACTACTCATGGGTCATTTAATGCCGGACTTTAATTTTCTCTGGAGCTCTGAAGTAACAAAAATAATATTTTATTCTGCTTTCACAGTTGAATACATGGTAGATGATACTCAGCTTTTGTGCATATACATATTTGCATGTACATAATTACTAGAGGCAGTGATATGTTTGTTTTATGTTATAGTTTGTTGAATTTTGGAATACAGTTTTTCTTTAAGAGATTATAGGATATTATATGGATTAAAGAGCTCTTTCATGTTGATTGATTTTTTTTTTTAGCTGCATATCAACCTATGTGGGTTATTTAATGACAATATCTAAATATTTTTAACATAATTTTATGACTTCAATTAAATATATTTTGAACGCAATTGTATTCAACTACAGATAAAATGTATTGCTGGCAATTTTACTATAAATAGGTATTGTTCCTAATTTTAGTATATAAAAATGTATTGCTGGTATTTTTACTATAAAAATGTATTTTTATACTTTCATAGTGTTTTTTGTTTGGGGGTTCACTATTGGCCTATAGATGAGACCCTAACAGATGCTACCACCCCCAGGTCAGGGTGGACCTGGGAATAACAACAATTAAGTGGCGGTTCCAGGTTCCTCAAAACCACCAATCTCTTGATCAGAGGCCCTACTGCTGGATGTAGTTTATCGTCATACCCAGGACTGCAGAAGAATGAAAGAAACTTGATATTAAAAGCTAAAGAAAAGAAAACTTATGGCTATATACTAAATGAGATGAAGACATAAAAAAAAAATTGTATTAATTAAAAACTCCTACTGTTGATATGTGGGTGTGTAGATAGTGTAACAGTGATTGGCATGGAAAGTGAAATTAACAAGTCAAGTTCAATTTTTAGGTTAGTCTGTTCTCACTTCACACAAATGCCCTTGGGAAAGAAACCAGTCTATCAACCCCCAACCCATTCTAGTTTTGGGTGTCAACTAGTTTTAAGTGAAGGAAACTTTGAATTCCTAATTAGGAAGAAGGGAATAGGAAACTCCTCCACTATCTTTCCCAAGATGTCATAATAATTTACAGATAATAAAGAAGAATAGGTAATGTATACTGACGAAATCAAGAATTCAAACGAACATGGGGTAATCATCGGCTGATCAGTGAAAAACTTGGATGAGGGTTCATTGTATGTTTATATCTACGATATATAAACCTATGAAATTGTCAGAAAAATTCACAAAAAGTTTGTTAAAAAACATGTAAAAAACAGAGTATGAGATAATACCTCATCACATTTAAAGGATGTGTTTTCTGCTCCATTCAAACTGTCATAATCCTGTGTTTTTCATCCAAAATTGCATCCAATAGTCTGCTGCATTTTATAATTTAGTTTAAAACTCAATCACATTTTTTCCAGGACTCAAAATGGATAAAACTGGATCAAGTTGGATTTCTTTATTTACCATAGAGATAATATCAATCTAATGGTGTATTTCAACAAAAGGAAATAAATCTTTCATAATCTTTCCTTAAGTCCCATACGGTTTTATGGTTTTGTACATTTACTGGATAACATTGGGTCCAGACACTTACATGAGTTTGTAAAACTTTTAACGATAAAAATATTTAATTCACGATAAAAAATACAAAATGATGCATAATTTCAAAATAAAAATCATCAAAAACAATTTTTATTGAAAGGCTTAATGACTGATTCACAATAAACACCTTTAGCAAGTTTAATAACAACTTTTTCATAATGCTTACAAATCCCCAAAATGCCCTGTTTTATTTTATTTTATTTTTTTTTTCATTTTTTTTCTCTTCCCTTTTTACAAGTTTTGGTTGTTTTCTTTGCTCTAAAATTAGGTGTGTTTTATACATGAAAATAAGCTTTTTCCTCTGGAAATTCTCTGCTTTTTTACAGAATGGATTATGGTATTTAACTTTACATCAAATTTTGCATCAGATGGTGATGCAAAATAGTCATGGAACATAAGACCCTTAATGTAGAAACTGAATAAGACCTGCTTTCCAGATTGTTCATGTCATGAAGGCACATAATGCTTAAAAGAAAAAAAGATATATTGTTAACAGTTCAGAAATTAGGTTCACCTATCGCCCTGTTTATACTCTTTCCCTGTCTGTTGAACAGGAGTAGAGGTTTATCCTTAGAGGACTGGGTTTTTGGTTCTTTCTAAAAATTTTCTCATTCTCTTTCAGTCCCAATAACCCCTTGTGTTTTAATGGCATTATCACTTTGCTTGGGATGAAAGGATTAAAAAACAGAATTTTTAAATTCATTGACAAATAAATGCTTTTTGGATGAACAAAAATAAAATAATACACGTAGGGGTTATCTTTTATAGAACATGAAATATTGAAGAACTCAAAATGCACATAAGTTCATCAATGCCATTGTCACTAAAAGCTGAATTAAAATCACTTTATATGGACAATATATATGATTCAAGGGAGGTAACTTTCTATTCTAAGGTCCTGAAGTTTGATTGAAGTAGATGTATTTATAAGAATAGTTTCTGGTTGAAAATGCAACCGACTTTAAGATTTGTCAAACATAATGATGTTGCTTGAAATTAGGCACTGGGGGTTATTGATCTTCAACATGTGTAATATCATTATCAACCCAGCCCTTGCTTCAACATTTTCCCCATACAATTATAAGTTCAACAATACATGGGTCATATATCCATTTTCATATCCATGGCCATCTGCATTGAAACAGTCATTTATTTTTGTTTTAATTACATTGAGATATAGTTTACTAAATTCTTAAAATGATTGAGAGGAAATAATAGAATTAGTTTAATTCAGATAATTGAAAGATGTTTGGATGATTTTAATTTTTCTCTTCCTTTTTTGTCCGGATAATTGCAATATAGATAATCAAGGAAATACTGTATTGTCTTTAATATGAAATATCTCTCCATCATGGACCTGACCTCCAAATTTAATCAATTTTTTCTTTGCTCACCATTCCACAAAATGTTATTAAAAACTTTAGAAGAGATTGTGCAGAGAAATGTAAATATATAACCTCTACTTAACTTTGGTGGCAAAAATAATGACATAAAAATTAAGAAATAAATTTTTTGTTGTTACTACTATAACAACAACAACAAATAAATATTGTTATAATAAATAATCATTTTTGACCCTCATTTGTTTTATAACTACATGTCAGGCCATAATCAATTACCTATGGCAAGTGAAGGAAGTGATTTTTTTGTTGTTTCCACTTAAACAAAAAGCTATTAACAAAATAAAATTTAAATAGGCAAAGCTCTTTGCAGGATATGGGGCTGTACTTGTTAGGACTATTTTTTGGATTTTCTGGAGAGATGGTGCACCAGGGATTTTGTTGATTTGTTCTTGAGTTCCTTTCTTTAACACACCCAAAGCTCCAACCACAACAGGAACAGTTTTAGTTTTTAAGTGCCACATTTTTTCTATTTCCATCTTCAGGTAATTATATTTGCTTAGTTTTTCAAAGAAAAACTTCACAGATGTTTTTCGTTACTTGGTATGCACATGTCATTCAGTGAGCAAGCACTTTCTTTTCTTTGATGAAAATGTCTGGGCGATTTGCTTGTATTGTCTGATCTGTGTGGATAGAAAAATTTCAGAGGCTGGTAACATCTGCTCAGACAACTACAGATTCAGAAAGATGTTCACGCCAGTTTGAGTTGTTTTTTTTAACTTGTAGTAATTACAGATCTTCCAAGGCAGAGATATTGAACTGTCATGATGGTTCTTGTACACATTGGGAGGGGTGAGTATTGAGAATCCTGAGCTAAAGTGATCAATAGTTTCAATGTATTGGTTACAGAACCTACATTTTGGGTCTGTACCATTATGCAAGATATTAGTTTGGTAATTGTGTGTAGGTAAACTCTGGTCCTGTGCAGCAAAAATAAACTCTTCAGTATCACCCTTACATTGTGAACTCCTTAGCCATTTGTAGATTGTGAATTGATCTACATCAGCATTTTTTTGCTGTGTTTTTCATGTTCCATTAAGAGTTGTAACATTCTAAAGTTCAACTTTTGAAATTTTGTAAGATAATTCTAGTTGAATCATGCTCCTGTCCCCACTGCTCCTTGGCAAATACAGTCAACATCTGCCTTAGGGTGTTGAATTCTATTGCATATAAATTATTTTCAAATTTATTTATTTTATTTATTTATTTAATTTATTTATTTTATTATTTATTAATGTATAAATAAAAAAATGAATAAAAAAAATTTATGGCATTACCTCAGCTTTGGCATTTTTAGCTGCTTCTCTTGCAGCAGCTTCTTCCAATTCCTTCTTTTTTACTTCAAACAAATCTCGAACAGTAAACATGACCTGTTCAGCCTGTAAAGAGACAGAAAAAATGTTAGTGAGGGATGAACTTTTGTTTGTCATGATCCCATTTTTATCATCAACATTCAAAGCCTAAATAAGGAAAACCTCATGTGAATTATTTCACAAGGTTCAATCATGTTTGTTGCAGGCATTTATTAAGCTTAACTTTGTGCAGCACAAAGTGTCCAGTGAGGATCAAATTCTCTAAACACTTCATAGCAAGATATTTTTTGTTATCTCCATTATACAAGTTGGTGCTGAAAATTTATTGACTCACCCTGTTAAGCCTGGTCAATACCTAGAATACTATTTCAGTACCTTGGAATACCAGTTGTTGCAAGCTTGGATGTGCAGATGGTGTAATGAATAATGGCTTAGAATTGGAGAGCTGAGTTCTAATTCCATTTGGGTTCATTACATCCATTTACATGCAAATGCTCTTGTGAAAGGTATGAATCCACCTCTTCTTCCCCTAGCTATGGGTTAATCAGGACTTTATTTTTTATTTTTTAAATTTTCTAAAAGTTAATAGGGGATGCACTTTGTGTAACTTAGGTGTAAATTGATCCCCTAAAGAAAGCCAAAACAAATGATCTTCAAAAACTTAAATGCTAAGCTGAATAGAATGCAAAAAGCCAGAAGAGTTCCACAACTGAGAAGTGCAAGAGAAGAAACTGTTAGCATAGAACTTACGGTTGCATCTAGACATTTCAACTGTAAGGTGATGAGACCTTGCTGCCAATGTTTTTAGCTTATATGGTAAGAAAATTATTTTGAAACATGCATGCACACACACACACACATATATATATTCACTTAAAATTTGCTCTATTTATTTTGGAAGGAATGATCAATATATAGAGTGAATGTCTATACAGTGTTGACATAGAAATCAACACAGTATGGTAACTCATAGTTTTTATTATCTCATGGTGCCTACAGTCTGATGATTGCATAAGATTTAAAACTGCCAGTCACAATGTAATGTTGATTTCCATAATCAAATTTGTTTTTGGAACTCTCTTGATTTCCAGTTAAAATTGCAGTTAAATTTTTGAAGATCAATGTCAATAGTTATCTTCTGTCTTTGTAATTCCTGTTCTTTTATTGCTTTCTCTCCTTAATAAAGTTTTAGTGGATCTTAGTACTAAACTTGGGTGTTCTGTCAGTATCATCAAGGATAGCACCTTATCGTCAAATTTGTATGTATGGTAGCATTTGTCCCATTGAAATATATATATATATATATATATATATATATATATATATATATATAAAGGTGCATTTTGGTAGCAATTATTCTTTCAAACATGTTTGGTTGAATAATATAAAATTTTTTTATTAACTTTTTCAAATTTCTGAATTAGTCCTTTTATGTTAAATTTAACAAAGTTTGTATTCATTTTTATTTTATATTATCCCCCAACCCGAGTACTTTTGAATGTTGCTACATTCTTTTTCAGGGATTGTTTTGTGTGTTTACATAACTGTTTTTGGCTAATTCTGGCATTCTCACATTTGCTGGAACCAATTTTGAGTCACTCAAAATGACGTTATTTAAACAGTCAAAACTGGAATTTTTATCTGCATTTTTTTTTATTCAAATGTGGTAATATATAGACACACATAAACTTAACTGGAAATGTATGATTGCATAAATTAACACCTCCACCTATTTTGTTTTTAAATATATCACTAATTTTTTCATTGCGTGTATTTGATCTGCTATCAAATTGTACACTTGCCTTGGTATTGAACCATATCTGTTGAACCTTCGTATCTATCTTGGTTTGAGTCTGAACTACAAACATCTCTTGTCTGTTGCTACTAGTTCACAATTATTGATTGTTAATTGCAATTCCATCAGATCCTGTTCCAATTTTCTCACTAGAATAATTAAATTGTTCTTGTCTGCAAACAACTAACTCCTCAAAGCCACATTTTAAAGCAGTCAATTAGCCAATCAGCTGATCTGATAACAGTCAATTGTGCAGTACTTTGATGAATTATAATAAAAAAAAAAAAGGAAAAAAAGGCATTTTCATCGACCCTGCAACCTTGGTTGCCATTTCTGTTTCTCATTTGTGAAATTCAGTAGTAGAAAAACCAGACTCTTGCTTTGAAGGTGCTCAGAAATGGTAGACATAAATTTCAAAACAACATAAAAACCCCTGTTCTGTATTTCAGATTAATTTTATATATGTATTAAAAACATGCATTTAAAAACAGTTAAAAAATTCAAGCTTATATTGCATAAGATAATCAAGAGCAGTTGGGTAGACAGTTCATTAGCCTTGGTTGGCTATCAGTCTAGAAGAAGGGTCACTTTGATTTCAAAACCAAGGTAGATGGGACTCCTTAATCATCTTGATGACATGAAACCTTTAAAAGTGGGCAATGACCCCATTCTTGGTTGCTTGGAAACCAGCTTCCAAGTAATGATGAGAAGTGTATTTAAAACCCACCACTATGAGAATCATGAAAATACAGGATGTGTGGATTGTGTGATGGATAGCAGCTGTTTGAGAATTGAATTCTAGTTGAGTTCATTACATTCACCCAAATAACCTTGGAAAAGGTATGAATTAATCTTTTTTTCCACCCTCAGCTATGGGTTAAATAGCAGAGTAGACTGGGCTCTTTAGTCATTGTTGGCAACCAGTGTAGAAGAAGGACAACTCTGAATTCAAAATGGTAACAACTGTCCATGGTCCCTGACCCTCAGCAATGATGGGAAGAAGCAAGCAATCAAGAGTTACGATATTGATTACACTGGGTAGCAAAATATTTTTGTTTGTTATTAAGAAAAATTATTTTATACCAGTTCCAAATCTGAGCTCAAATTGTTTTAACATTGTTTTTTACCTTGAAAATGAAGATGCTATACTAGTGCTGTATACATTATATTTATATTCAAGGTAGACAATAGCTAGCTGATCAGTTTGACTGGGCCAGTACACTAAAACCCTCAGTCATGATGACTTGTGACTTTCTTCTAGCACAGTCATTGACAGCTTTTGAACAGTTCTGTCTACTCAATTTTACTGTGTTATGGTTTGCCGGCACTTTCAACAGGCGCCACGTGCTGGGACTGCCTCCTCAGACAAATAACATCAAGAAGTTACCTTCCTGGCAAATCTGCCATGGTGAATTTTGAAACTGGGCTACATGGTCAGAATGTGAATGTTATGACTGCTCATAGTATATTAGTAAATAGTACATTAATGTTCAAGGAAAATTTAGTCAAAGATAGGAATAAATATGAAATACTGACCCAAGAAAATGCTGTACAGCTAACATTTTTTTATACTATTGTTCACCTAATAAAAAGCCCAAGAGTCACTCAAGGTAGAGAGCAAGAGGTACATATTATAAGGATATGTAGGATAGATAATGGTTAACCCTACTTTAAGAGGTTAAGATTGTAGTGGTCAGAGAAGCATCCTCATAGGAGTCTGCTTGATAAAGTAGCAATTCTGGGAAAGAAGCTGCTTGAGTGTTACTTCCTCATTACCAATGGAATATGAATATAATGATGAGTTGATGCTGTGTATGTGGCATGGCAGATCCTAGCTGTGAAGGTCTAAACATAAACAAATCTTATGTCATCTTAAATGAATACGAATATACTATTAATATTTATCACCTTGGAACATAAATATGAAAACCATTGAAAAGCCTGATGTGCTAAAACAATTCTAACTACATATTTGGAATCAGTGTACTTGATTTTGTTTCATACAGGATCATTTCTTTGGTTAGCAGACAAAATGTCCTCTTCATTCCAGTACATTTAATATGAAGCAAGGTGCTCCTCCTAATCATGCACATAGCAGAAAAACCTGATGCATTAGAATGATTCTGAACATAGATTTGGAATTGGTGTACTTGATTTAGTGTAAAACAAATGATTTTATGCCAGTATCCAAATCTGAGTATTTCCATTTGATGTAATGGAATAACTTGTCACCTCCATGAGTGACTACACTATAGGTAGTAACTACCTATAAGTATCTGTAAGTCAGCAAACTACAGAGACGAGCTGGGATCTGTTCCAGTTGAACAGTTGAACTCTCTGCCTCTGAGCAGAGAGGAACCCAGATGAGGCTTCGCTGAAGAGCAGCGTCTCGTTCGAGGAGGTAGACTGCCCCTGAACCCGTTTATACGGGTTCAAAAGGGAATATTTTTGGCCAAACCTGTGGGCCCAGAGAACCCATGTTAAACCAGCCTTGTGCCACATGCAACCCTCGTGGGTGGCGGGTAGCTAAATATACTAGTTAGGATCTGTTGAGTATGACTCAGATTAAAAGAGGACTACCGACTTTCCAAAAGTAGCACTCACTACCGGATTGACTTGTGGTGACCTTTGTGCATAACTTATCTTTATTCTTATTGTACTGGTTTTTACAATAAACCATTACTTATTTTATCAACCTTGTTTTTCATGTATATATATTCCTATTAACACAGAATATAACAGATTTTAATGGATAAAACTGAGCAAAACTGCTTTCTTCACAATTTTATTTTAAAGACAATGCTATCTAGAATAATTTTAACCATTCCATTGATAACTAATGTAGGCAAGAGATAGTATTATTTTATAATATAACCATAAATCTGTCACCATTTCTTTGCTGAGTGAAGCAAATGGTAAGATGTTCAATATAAACAATTTGGCCGTTAATCTTTGAAAAAAAATTTCTTATGCAGTTCTGCAAAAGAGAAAGCTTTTTGCTGAACGTAGTAAGCTTGCATATTGCCACAACAGTGAAATATGTAGTATGCATACTGGCAAATTATTCAGTTAATAGCCACAAGCAAACATCTGTTTCACCTGCCAACATTTATATTCACATTTTATTGGATGGAAAGGAAAGATGCAAGAAAAGTATCTATGTATCTGTGAATACTTATAACAATATTTACATAAAAATATTCAGGTGTCTCTTTTTAATATAAATATATGCTACATATATTCTGTGTATTTAGGTAGCAAATTTTTTTTT